GATTGACATCAAAAACAACAACCTCTACTTTTTTCTTTTGTATTTTGATAAACACTGAAGAAATTAGAGCTGTTAAAATTTATCTTGGGGAAAACCTCAGAACTGGTTTATCTGGTGTCGTGGAATCTCTTACTGCTTTCAATACACGATTAGTAATCAACTGTTTTGTATACTTGTTTTCAGTTTTCATTTCGACAAACAAGCACTGTAATTATAGCTATTAGAATAAAATCTCTTAACTATTTCATGGCTTTCCAGTGCTTGGGTGCCATTGACCAAGGCTGCCTCCTGGGACACAGGCAGGGATGGCTTCGAGAATGTGACCAACCCCCGATTCACCCCAGACCAGTTTCTTGCCAGCACTCCTGAGGGGCTTTGTCATTGGTCTGTCTCCACTAGCAGTCCAGTCCCCAGTCCTGGTCTAGTCTTGGGCTAAGAAGATCCCCATGTGGGGTATGCCTGAGAGGCCAGGGCCTGGGATCACCTACGGTGATTTAGTTCCATATCATTGCTTTGGGAGCCTTTGACCCTTCTGGGCACCCTCCACCTGGCCAATCCAAGGTCCAGGTGTCCTTCCCCCAGAGGCATCAGCCCTGTGTGTGTGGCCCAGCCCTCAGACCTGTTATCTAGTTTCACTAACATGTTGATAATCAGGGCCAGGGTTCTGAAGACAGAATCATCTTTGCTTTTTAGTTCTTTAAAAAATCAGAAGCAAAATTGAATATATTTCATAATCCAGCCTGGGTTTTGTCTTTACTAAAATGTGATTTATTGTAAGTTTTCATTTCTTGTGTGGATGAGGTGGTGAATGGCTACAGGCATATCTCCTAGCAGAGGAGCTGGAGGGAGGGTAGGGGAGGTGTGCCTGGAGATCTGTCTGGGAGAAGCAGAGCAGGTTCATGGAACAGGGTAGCAGGTCTCTGGGTACCTGAGGAACAAGGGTGTCTCCAAGTATAAAATCACCTTCACCCCCATCCACCAATTATAAGCACCTTTGTTCTGACTACCTTTTCCCCCTCAGAAAGGCCCACCTGCAGGTGAGCAATTTCTCCCCCGCCACCACCACCACCACCACTAGGAGTCCCCTACCTAGTGAGATCTAAGGTGGTACTGCTAAAACCCAAGGCATCTGACACATTTTCACATCACTTTCTGTTAGGACACTTCAGCTTAAAATATGTTTATAGACAGTCCTCGGGTTACATCGGACTTGACGTACGTCATTTTATGGTTACATCACCATCTCCCATATATTTATTTTTTTAAAAAAGTTCCATCATTTCTATGTATGTACCATATGTGCCTTATGTTTTTTATTATTTACTTACCACAAGTAAAGGTCAGGAATTGTTATCTTTTAATTTTTTTTTGCTGTTTCACTTCATTACTGCTGTGTGTGTGCTCCATGTGAGTGACATAGGTGCTTATGTAGGTGGGTTCCGACTTGTGGCAAAATCACATTACATTACGTGGTGCCATAGGAACGGATCTCCGATGTAACCTGAGGACCTACTGTATTTAAGTACAAAGGATGAGTCAACACAAAGAAAAATATAAGGTAGCAGTAACTGGAGCCTAAAGCAGTAGACCTCTCTCTCCTGGGCAGGTTTGTCCTCCTCTGATGGGCCTGGGGCCACCTGGAGGTGAGGCCTCATCTAGATACCTTGCCTGCTTACAGGGTCCTGGTAGGGCCCCCAGAAGCCTGCTCTCCAGCTCCCTGGGCCTGGCAGGGCACATGCTCAAAGTCTTCACTGAGGACAGGGCCTGCCTGGGGTGAGCTGGGTCTTAGTTGCTGTCATGTCTTGGCCTTCTCTTACAACAGGGCAGGAAGTCAGAGTAGTGCCTGTGATGGCAAGCCCTGGGGAGTATGAGGAACTGTCTACCACCTGGCCCAGCCCCAAAGGCAGAGCTGCTGCTCCTACATGGCAGGAGCCAGGGACATCAAGGAAGCTTACCTTGGTCCTGTGCTATTTTTCTCCTCATTCTTGTGCTGCTTTCTTTTTCCTGCTCTTCTGATTG